TGCTAGCTTCCAGAGGCTAGTCGTTTTCATCATAGTTAAGTCAGCAGTTGACTTCATGCTTGCACTGGGAGTCCTTGTGCATGATGGGTTTCTGTGCCACTGTCCTGAATGCGGAGTATACATGGGAAATGTTTAATTTTCTTGACAGGCAACTGAGATGTTGGTTCATAATGCCCAGAATCTCATGCAGTCTGTGAAGGAAACTGTGAGAGAAGCTGAAGCAGCATCCATTAAGATAAGAACAGATGCTGGATTCACTCTTCGCTGGGTCAGAAAGACCCCGTGGTATCAGTAAACACTTGCCGCATAAGTATTGTTTTCTGTAACATAAAATGCCTTTTTTCGGAAACAGAAGAGATATATTAACAGCAAAAGGTGCTGTATACGTGAGCTTAAGATTAGCTTATGCTAATGCCCCATTCTAAGGGTATGAATTCTAAGAGAATGCATTTCAAATGTCTTCGGATTGCATTTGATGTCGAACACCTCAAAATTGCTTCCGACAGTAGACAGTTCTTAGCCTTTATTTTTTTTTCTTTTGAAGATTCTTTTCATGAATTCTGTACTTGCAGAAGCACATTTCATTTATGCACTGTGTATTCCAGTAGTTTCCATGTGATGATATAAAACATGGACCTCACTTTAAGCTTGTGTTGAGAGTCTAGGACACTATTGGTTACTTGGCAGGTTTTTAGGGATAATCATTGATATAGAAACATTCAGCTCTTCAATAGGATTTTAGCTGGCTGTTCTTAAACCATGCAGAAATGATGGAAGGTGTGGAGTTTTTAATTAAGGGGATGAAGGCAGCAGAACAGTTGTAAATTGAAGATTAAAATTCCATGTCTGAAATGATTTTTTTTTTTTTGCTTTTGATTTTTACCTGGCAAGAGTATTTTAACAAAAACTGGAGCCGTCTTTGTCACCTTCCTGTCACCCTGTAGGTAGGCATTCCAGAACTCTTGTACTGTACTGAGATGCTTTGCAGTGGATGTTAGTGGCACACTGTTAACAGCTTGGGCCTTATGGCTGGAGACCATAAATCATGGAACTCTTTCCTTCTTGCTCAATTCAGTGATGTATTGAGCTGAAAAATTCTGATTCTCTTAAGCTAGCTGCATGTCCAGGACCAGAAAATGCCACGTGCTGGCTTTTTCCTTTTGAAAACCAAATGAGCACATGTGATTATTCTTTTTCCTCTTCCCTCCATCTAATGTTATTCCAGCCACTCAAGATGGAAATTAAAAGATAAAGATACTCAATTGAAAAAGACATTTTGCCTCACTGCCCTTGTTTCCAACAATGCATAGCTTTTGGAAACACAAGCATGGCAGGGACATGAAAGCCTTTTTAGGTAGTCTGACGGCTACCAGCAAATGGTGGTTCCTAATGCTAAACACACAAGGATATTTTTTGACATTTGGATTTTGGAGGCTTAAAAATCTTCGTTCAAGTTCTAGTAATAGTGAACAAAGTGTTACTGTATTTTTAAAAAAAACCCAAGTAAAACCACAACAATAAAACCCCACAAAATACCCCCACTTTATTAGTAAAATAGAATTGGGATATTTTTACCCTTCCATAATTGAATATGCCTTTGTATATAAATAGCTATATGCATTCATTTAATTGCTCCATAGTCTCTTTTGGCATTTCACAGAAAGGAGAATTACCGTTTTAGAAATGAGTCTCTGTATGTTTGCAAGCAACACTTGCAGATTTCCGCCCAGATCAGCACTGGTGCCTCATGATGCCCTCTGAATTGGCTGAAAATTGTTGCATGATCAAACCGCCTTTGACAGAAGTTCCCGCGTGGAAAAACTGCTCAGTCTTAACAGCTGGAAGAGACCCAATACAGTCAGCTGTCCTTTACGTGTCTGCAACAGTTATTCTACAGTTGGGCTTTCTCCCTTCCCCCCCGCCCCTTCATTGCACTGTTATCTAAAAAGGGAAGTTAAACTGATGATAATACATCTGCCTCAAACTGACCTTAGCAAGGGAAAGCATGCGTCCGTCTTGGATTCACTCCTTGTGTCTGGGTATTGCGGAACACGTGGTACTTCGGATCTTTCCTCAGTGTTCTCTTCCTGCAACTACCTGCAGCAGGAAGGGGAAGGAAGGGGTGCCAGAGCCTTAACCTGACTGTCTTGCATTTGGTTGGTTTATACCAGATCTTAAACATAACTGTAATGTAGTAATTTCTATTTAATAGTAAATAACACTGAATAGGTAGGGGTTATTTTTAAAGGATTTTCTAAAAAGTCTTCCTGTATTACTTTTCCATGCTCCTCCTATTTCTTCCCCCCGATTCAGGCTTCTCTGAGACTTTTTTTTTAGCATCACTGTTTAGTTGCTTGACTGATATTAATGCAATATTACTAATGCCTTTAATACATAATTGTTTATGCCAAAGATCACTTTCTGTTTATTGAGGAATGTTTGCAGGAAAGTTATGAATCATGGTTGCCTTTGATATATGAATGTTTGCTATAAGTTCTTGAACTGTTTTGTAGAAGCAAAGATACTTGTCCACCATATGCAATTACTGCTTTTTTTGAACACTATTGGTCTTCAGACCTGAAATGCAGCAGAAATTTGAAAAAGACCATGAATGTCACTTAGAAATGTTTTACCACTATAAAACTTTGTTTATAAACCAAAATGTATTGTATAGTCTAATGTTTTCAACCTTTCTTTGGTTCTGTTAAAACAATAAAAATGCATTTGTACAAATGTCAGCTTGTGAGTATTAATGGTAATGGAGCAGTGATACAACACCGTAACAAGAACAGAAAAAAGCTAAAGCGGCAGAAACACTAAAGAACAATTGTTTATACATATTCTGAACAGAAAAAAGTGCAGTGTTCCTCAAATGGAAGAAGATAAAACAAAGTCGTGTCTTTTCTGCCTGTAAAACTATTAATTAAAGAACTTACTGAAAGCTGTGGTCCAGTGGAAGAAAATGGGAGGTTTTTCCAGAGGCCTGATGGTCATCTGCTCTAGTGGCACTGAACAAGATGCTGAAAACTTGAAATGGGATCAGCCTGATCCTGTCAATAAGGGGAGAACTGCTATTCTGGCCAACACCTTGATAATCTGAATTTTACTTTACAAAGTGAATGCAAGGGTGGTGAGCATGGAATCGCTGTCCTGTTTCTTTCACAGTAAGAACCTATCAAACACTTGCTAAAAATTTCTCCCAGCACATGTAATGTTCAGACTCTGTGGAACTAATGTTTATTGGTGGTGCAGGACCAAACACTGGAACATCTGTGTTCAAAAAAACATGTGGATTTGGCACTTCGGGACATGGTTTAGGGGACATGGTGGCGCTGGATTAATGGTTGGACTTGATGATCTTGAAGGTCCTTTCCAACCTAGTGATTCTGTGATAGTCCCACAGTGCTGGAAGGTATCTGGGATCTAGTAATAATAGGTAAGATTTCATACAGATCACACAGTTCTCCTTGTATCTGAGAGAGGATGAGAACCTGGGAGACCACCACCTTTGTCAGCACTCCCAGAGCTGGACATCTAGAGAAGAGGAGATCAGAAGTTGGCGGTACCAGTTCCTCAATGACATCCTCAGCTGTCTGAAGCTGTACTACTCATACAGGTGCTGGTGCAATTTTTTTTTAGCAGGGAGAATATGTACACAGTCCCCCCTGCCCTTCTGCAGATTCTGCAGCCAAGTTTCCCTGTGTTTGGAGAAATGGCTGGAGCCAGCACACCTACAGCAAAAAGCGTAAGCCTCACACAACAAATGCCATTTCCCTGATGAAAACTACCTTCATGCTGAGGGTGGTTCCCTACCAGGTGAGTGTAATTCTTGTTGACAGTGACTTCTGGTGTGCTGTGAAGCATGGATCAAAGCCCTTCCAGGGACAGCGGCTTTGCGCACGCTTCCCTGGGGCCCGAGTTACAGAAGGTTGGCAAGGCTTGTTCTGTAACGCGCTGAAGGGAAGCGCTGGTGTTGAGACTAGCCAGTTTTGATCTTACCTTATGCTCTACATCAGTAATGGTGTCAGTTCTGAAAGGAGCATTTTCAGGCTGTTGATGCAGACAGCGGCTCTAGCTACTCAGACTTAAGCTTGGGATGTAATCAGTTACATCTGAAGATGAGGCTTCTAGTAAAATTACCGTAACTGAAGGATGCTGCTTGCTGAAATGTGGAGCAGAACTGTAGGATGAGTAATGACGGATGTTTCTCCAGCCGAAAAAGGTAGACTAGAAGGTTGGTAGCTTTTAATACCTGGTGTTGCGTCTACATAAATAGCAAGGCTTTCTTATAGGTGCTGGCTCTTAAAAGCGCCGCTTTATCTACACTAATCTGCTGTAACTTCAGAAATACAAAATGGTTGTCTGGTAATATAACTAGGGTAACTTGGACACAAAGTTACCAACAAAGAATATATGCTGATTATTTTTCTAACTGTCTTGCTGCCAGTGCTGAGATGGGTTGTCTCCCCGCGCCCCCCCCGCCCCCATTTCTTCAGACAGGATCATTTTTTGTCCCGTTTTGACTACTGAATAACTTTGCTGCAGATGAAGAATTGGAACTAAAGTTAGCACCTATTATCCATCTGTAAGCCAAGCAAGTTAGGGAAACAAGGATTCTCCAGTCTCCCTGCTACGTACTGAGCAAACGTGTGGTTTGAAACCTGACGGGTACTGTGGAGCATGTGTTGGTTTACAGAGATAACAAATTTATGCTGGTGTATAAGGAAAAGTTTAGTCAGCCTTGCATCATCATTATTGTGTCTTTGGAATGTCATCATCTAAATGTTAATTGTCCTCAATTTAAAAATAAAAAATAGGAGAGAGGGCTTACCTGCCATGCTCCTAAATGCCCTTTCTAAACTTTAAATAGTTGCACAGTAATCAAGTTCAGTAAAGATGTAGCAAATAGTCATCGTTTAATTGTAGACCAGATGTCTCCCACCTAAGATCATCATGAATAGTTTACAATAGCATGAACATTTCACAAGGGAAGATGTATGTGCAGTAGAGTTCCCTTTATTTCATAACACTAAAGCACACAACCATTAAATACACTTGACACTCGTATTGTGCTACCTAAAAAGCTATGCTCCAATGCACACGTGGCACAAATCTGGTGGCATACACTTCGAACAAGTGGAACATCTAAACCAAAGCAAAGGCTTCACATAAAAAATAGATCTTACTCTCTGCAACTGTATTCTTAAAAAAATGATAGTGGTGACGAGACCAAATGGAAAGAAAGTGGATTACTGAAACAACCACCGCCTCCCAGATTTAATGCAGAATGTTATTTTTATCAGCTCATCTGCAGATGGCACAAATGAAAGCTGGTTAAGGCAAATGCTTCTTAGGAAAGGCGATTTCTTGTAAACAACAAGGAAATTATTTTTTTCTTCATTAGAAGCTCTTTCTCAGGAGTGACACCCGCTATGTCCCAGGCCCCTGTGGGACCTCTGCCCCTCTCACTGCTGCTCTCTATTTCTGAAGGGATTACACGATGCTTTGTGGAATGCCAGCTTGCAGCTGGCTGTCAGAATAGCTGAGCTTTTTTTGCAGGCAGCTGCAGCAGCAAAACGTGCTGCCACAAGGCTTTTCCAGTGGCCTGTCTGGCCTTCATAATGTGCTTGGCCTCTGGGCTTTGGTATCTGACTGGCAGTGTAGTGTTGGTGACATTTTGTGGATCACCTATATCAAACTATTCACCAGCACAACAATTTAGTAAAAAAAGAGTGAAGGTGTATTAGAAAAAAAGTACCTTACTTTAAAGCCGTATTAAAAAAAAACTAAGCTATGCTTTCATTTTAAGAGCTGCTGTGCACAAAATGCTTTGATCCCAAACTAATCAGTGTATTAATTAATTGGCACCTAATTAATAGCAACAGAAGTCACTAAGCAGTCAAGTTTTTTTTTAAGGGGAATTTCCTCTTGGAAGTAGAGCATCTTCTCATGTCCTGACTTGGAATTTTCCTGCTTTTGTAATATATTTGACACCTTTAAAAGGCTTGTATTTTTCTCCATACATGTCTAGGCGATTCACTTTCAGTCCTGAAAAAGACAAGCACAAGTACAAAGTTAAAAGCAGAATGCTAGAAACCATGTCAGTCTGTTTAAAAGTCCTGCTTTCTTGAACCATGTTAAGATTGGTTAGAAGGGTAACTGTCCTTCCTTTCACAAGTCCATCTGGTTTGAAACCGCAGAAGAGACCATTCCTGTCACCTAATCACAGCTGCCCTGGCAGGGCAACAGCTTCTGGCTGTTCTACTCAGTGAGCCAACATCCTCCTTCCAAAGGATGAACTACTGAACAAACGAGTCCATCTTCCACAGCTCTTGTGCACTGCATTCGTTTCCAATAATGTTGACGAAGCCAAAGGACAAGTTTTACAATTCTTTTCACTCTAAATGGTAATTGGAAGGGTCAGAAATCCCTCTACTATTAACTGAGGAATGCCAGTAGCTATCTAAGACTCCCAGGTTGTACCCTGCTTTCTCACAGTCCACTATCTCTGGCATCCAGCCATTGGATCCACTATGTTTTGCTCGATTTAAACTGGTGGGTTGCAAGTTTAAGAGGAAACTGCAAGACTCTGTTCTTACACGGACTAATCGTTATTTACTCAGCAAAGTAGTCTAGGAAGCAAAAGGACCCTAGCCTAGTACTCGCCTAGAAAGGTACTATATGTACTGCCACCAATTCTCATCTACTGCCTTCAGTCATCCTCCTGGAAAGATCCAAACATGAGTCTTTGCTCTGTTACGGTCTTAATCCTGCAAAGCTTGCTTGCAGAAGCGTTTTACATGTGGACAAATCGTGTGATTTAAGTGTTTGCAGACTGAGGCCTTGTTTGCTTTAAATTTACTTTCACACTTACCCTATAGACTTCATTCTGATTTTACTTGCAGATTTTTCTGAAGATGAAAAACTAACCAGCTCCAGAAGGAAAGAATAAGAAGGGCATTCTTCAAAATTAATGGAGTTTTTTGACCACTATAAAGGGCTTTAGTGGTACACGGCTAAAGCAAGTCAAGAGCAGCATGCTAAATCATCATCCATCACTCTTCACTAAAAGGATAAATTTGCATGTTTAATGCACAAGTCAACAAAGAAAAATCCATTCTTGTGTACTCCTCTCTCAGTCTTTCTTGAGCAAAATGATTGGGAATTCACAACTCCCAGCTAGGGAGCCTTCCAGCAAGGGTAACTGTCAGGTTTGGGTTTAAATCAGATTTTACCTTATTGGACAAAGCTGACTTCAGATCAGCATCTTCAATTAAAAGAGTAACAGTTTCCCATTTCATTTTCTGCTGCTACTCATTCTGTCAGTACCAATTTCATGTAACACCCACCCGCTCACCTGAAATTGCAAGCTGTTGTATCTTAAACTGGATGTTTAAACTCGGATTCTCCTCTGGCTTGGGGGCTCCAGACTGCAGGTTCACTATGCCCTTCAGGTTTGGTAGCTTTTGAGGGGTAATTTTGCCAATGTCCCACGTTAACACCTTGTCAGGAAAGAGAGAATAGTAGCAGTAGCTTTCTAGGAAACAGCCTATGAGGTCAAGTTCATGTCAAGCTTTTTGTTTGCAGGCTGAGAACAGAAAGTAGCCTGGTAGCCCTCAGAATTATCCCACTGGCTGTGGGAGATGGCATGGTTAGAGCTCCTGCAGATATGGTGTCTTTTCTTTCCCAGCATTTCTTTTGACCTGTCAGGGTTCCTTAGTTGGTCTGTGCGCTTAGTAAGTCTTGTTCCCTTAGTAACAGTGATGGTTCCTGTCTCAGATGGGGTCAGCTAGATCCGTGAAGCAAGGAGAGCAACCAGCACAACGGTCATAGGAACTTAAACATGAGAATAAGCAGGACAGGAGCAAGGCACTGGGCAAAAGGAGATGTTTAAGCTACAGTAGCTCTCCTAAGGATCACTTGTTTCCCATTGATTCTTACCCTTCAAAAAAGATACATGGAACCAAACTGGCCCTTTACTCACCCACAAGAGGGGTGGTTTTTGTTCTTATCATAAACTGAAAATTCTCCAAAGTTTGGCAGTTACAATCTACCTAGTTATCCCAACTCTTGATAAAAACACAGTATCATTCATTTCTGCAGAGAGGAAAGGAGACTTCAAGTGTTTTTGTTGATGTGCTTGTTTTAAAAGATCAAGGTCTGTTCTTTTTGAAGCAAAATGTTACTTGGAGAGCTTTCACTTACAATTCAAACCAGTTGCTGACTGAGATATTCCAAGGGCAGCAGAAAGCTCAGAGCAGGGTGTTAGAGCCAGCAGAATGTTTTGGCTCAGATTGCATTTCAGCAAAATGGCTCCTGGGTACTAAAAGCGCTTCAGGAGCTTTAGGAAATTTAGGTCTCAAACCCCAACTCATAGGCAAGAAAGCAGGACTCCCAAGATACAGTTTTTCTTGGGAGCTTTGTTTTCACATCGTTTGTTTTCCTTCCCGTGTGTCTTCAGGCAGATCTTTTGGAAGAGGGTTTGTTTTTGGTTTTTTTTCTCATCTCCTACTCCCTGTTTTTATGGCTACCTATTTTCAAGTCTACTGTTTTTTCTCCAGATAAGTACGTTTTAAAGAACACAGATTTCAAAATATAGCATAGCTGAAACCACCAGCAAAGTACTGCTGCATCCACTAAAGAAGAATATTAGGGGGGTGAGGGAGCAGGGGAAAAGAGAGGAAGGAAAGGGAGAGGAGAGGAGAAAGGAAAGGAGGCTGATAAAACCAGAAATCACAACTGATGTGTATCTAAGTTTAAAAAAGTAAATTTTAAATTCATAAACATATGCTGAAAGGAAGGTTTTCTGCTAAGTGTGGAACACTGCTCCGGTGCTCTGCGATATGTATGACTTGTTCTATTATAGCCTTAGATATTTAAATAAATGAAAACTTAAGACTTACTTTAGTAACTGGGTCAAACGTATAGCTGCCTTGTGTAGCGGTGAGGTTCATATTCAGTACGGCCTTTGGCATGTGAACTGTCATGACAACTCCTTCTACTGTTTTCCCCATATTCTGTTTTGGTCCAACGGTAACATCAAATCTTCCTGAAGAACTATTTTCCTTAAAACTGATCATGTGTTTCACATATACAGGAATTGCCACCAAGCTGAAAAGAGATGACAGTAGCTGAATGCATCCTGGCTACTTCTCTGCTCAAGAAAATAAAGCTCTTTCTCATAAACAGTTCTTGTATTTCTGGCAGGTATTCAAGTTAGAATCAGTTTGTTTCAAAAGTGAAAAGTGATACTCAGCCCTTCAACGTCATCGCTGAAGTGGTTTTATTAGCAGAGAAATCACAAGAAGAAAAGAAGATTTTCTTCCAAATCACTTGTCCTAATCTCCTTCCCTCCAGCTGTTTATTTTTTTTAAATTAATCTCACCAAATCTCAGAGCCAATTCTCAGAACAGCCACCAGTCAAATTGGTTTGCAAGTATCTGCAGTTCAGACTTTTTTGCTTTACTCTTTTTCGGAAGATCAGAATTCTCTATGTCTACAGACTAGCCACAAAGCATCTAGCAGCAACGATTACCAGGACTGAATAGCTCTGTATTAGTCATGTGTAGTTTATCCCACTGAAAAATGATTGCTAAGTAGCAGCAGCTCACTGAAAAACTCTTTGCTTGTTTTAGGGGGGACAGAGCAAGAGATCAGAAAAAAACTGAGAACATGCATTTTGGCAATGATGCAAATTCCTCCCGTAACAAGGAGAAATTTGCAGTTACTCAGATGGGAAGCGGTAGATGGTATATCTGAAGAACCAGTGTGTCTAAATAGAAACGTACTTCTGTGAACTGACACGGTAGGAGATCAGTCTGAAATTCCCATCGGGAGGAATAAACGAAAGGACTCTCTCAGACTCCCAGCGTTTGAACCGAATACATGGGTGGAAGCTGACGTCATCCAGCAGCCGTGGGTTCTGTAAGTAGTGGCAAAGCGGTAAGTGAAATCTCATCAAGTATCAGCAGTTTGAACTGGCTTCTGAACTCTACACAATTCCTATTTCTTTGTCTCTTAAGTATTGTTCCCAGCCATTAGCTGAGAGCTAGATGGATTTCTGGTCTGACCTGGCACAGCAGTTCCTGTGATTGTATTTTTATGTACAGACAAAAGCAATCTCAACTACTGAGCAGTGCAGCAGCTTCTAAAATATAATGCAAAACTTGTTATTTTTTTCTATGTGTAACACATGAAGCAGTGATTACGCTCTTAAAATTGTTCAACTCTGATCATTAAGAAAAATAAACACTGAGCAATTAAAATTCACAAATATATGCTAAATTT